ATTTTCAAGTTCCAGTCTGGCCCATGGACATCCACATCTGGGGCACTAATGTCTACTTTGGGGCCTTTGATGTCAAGCTCAGGGCCTTTCAAATCTCCTTCTAGCTTTGGCCCAGAGATATCCACATCTCCTTTCAGTTTGGGGCCTTTCAGATTAAGGTCCACATCTGGCATAGAAATTTTTGGAGCTTTGATGTGCATGTCAGGCATTTTGAACTTGGGACCTTTGATCTTTCCCTCAGGGGCCTCAACGCTCATATCTGGAACATCAATGTCCACTTTAGGCCCAGAAATGTCAACATCTGCTTTAGGCAGGCTCACATCCACATCTGGGCCCTCCCCCTTGAAGCCTGGCATGCTGAACTTGGGCATCTTCATCTTGGGCATCTTCAAGTTCCACTCTGGCCCATGGACGTCCACATCTGGGGCACTGACATCCACTTTAGGGCCCTTGATGTCCACATCAGGAACCTTCACCTCACCTTCTATCTTGGGCACAGACACATCCACATCCCCTTTCACTTTGGGGCCTTTCAGATGCAAGTCAAAATCGGGCATGGAGATCTTGGGGGCCTTGATGTTCATCTCAGGCATCTTGAACTTGGGGCCTTTGATCTTCCCTTCTGGGCCTTCTAGATTCACATCAGGTGTATCAATATCCACTTTGGGCCCTGAAATATTAACATCTCCTTTGGGCAGACTCACATCCACCTCTGGGCCTTCCCCCTTGAAGCCTGGCATGCTGAACTTGGGCATCTTCATCTTGGGCATCTTGAGGTTCCACTCTGGCCCATGGACATCCACATCTGGGGCATTAATGTCCAACTTGGGCCCCTTGATGTCCACATCAGGAACCTTCACCTCACCTTCTATTTTGGGCACAGACACATCCACATCCCCCTTCATTTTGGGGCCTTTCAAATGTAGATCCACATCTGGCATGGAGATCTTGGGGGCCTTGAAGTGCATGTCGGGCATCTTAAATTTTGGACCTTTCCACTTGCCTTCGGGACCTTCAACATTCACATCTGGCATGTCAACGTCCAATTTGGGACCTTTAACATCGAATTCTGGGCCTTCTATTTTGGGAACAGAAACATCAACATCTCCTTTGATCTTAGGGCCCTTCAAGTTGAAATCCACATCTGGCATAGAGATCTTGGGGGTCTTGAAGTGCATGTCAGGCATCTTGAACTTGGGGCCCTTCAGTTTGGCATCTGGGCACTCCAAGTCCACATCTGGAACATCAATGTCCACCTTGGGCCCAGAAATGTCAACATCTGCTTTAGGTAGGCTCACATCCACATCTGGGCCCTCCC